AGGACTCTGGCATCAACATCAACTGGCAAGTCTTCAGGAACGAGATGGACAATATGGATGAAAGTGGACATAGAGTTCTCGGTTTCCTTGGGCTTAAGCGTGCTGTAATCAACCGGCTGTAGGTACCCCTCGCGCCCTTTTTTGATGTCGCTAACCGTGATCAGAGCGCAGGGTAGTGCACTCAAAGAAACGACTGCTGAGGAGAAAGAAGTAGTTCGTGTACACCGTCGGTTTTACATGGCCTTTCAATTACGAGACCTGTGTAACGAGATGCCCATCCACGTTGTGGCGCGAAAGTACGATGTGCCGCGAGGTGCCGTTCAAACCCTATCCCAAACTTGCAATGGGTTTGCGGCTGGAATGATCAAATTCTGCGAATACATGGATTGGGGGTAAGTCGAACTACGCGCCACACGGGTAGTAGATCAATCGCTAATCGCATCGGCCAGCGTTATGTCTGCTGCATTAGATCACTTTTCAGACCGTTTGAGAGCTGGGGCAAAAGCCGACTTGCTGGCCTTGGCAAAGATCACTTTTGTGAAGAGTCGGACAGCGTAAGTTGCGCGACCGGGGAATGCGTCGGAATATCGTCTAACTTTGTGGAACAGAAGAGTCTTTTGGGAGAACGGTTTTCGCAGCATTGCGGCCATCGCAAATGCTGATCCCAACGAGCTCCTACCAATTCTGATGCAGGTAAGCAGGCGACGGAACTCTTGATTGATAACAAACTCATTGTTTGACAGGCTCAACCAAGTAAATTGCGCATCAAGGAGCAGGAAAGTATCAAATACGAAGGAAAACTCATGGCCAAGGCCAGGGTCATCTCGGATTCGGCCAACCGACTGTGGCGTAAGTCAAACCGAGAGACATATCGGCGCCGTTGGTGGACTGTAAGTCGGGCTAGCACAGCAGCTGACTATACTTGCGTACAGGTATTCAAATGCAACAGGAAGTCTATGAGGAAGAATGACCAACATGTCGGAGGTTGTTGGCAACGGTTGGAGCGGCCTACAGCACGCTCTTTACTTGCAGCTTGGTAGCACCGCGGCCGTTACGAAGCTGGTACATCGTACCCGGGCATTTGGCTATGGTGCTCATAGGCTCTTTTTACTACCTCCCGCAATAGATGCGCATGCATGCCGTCGCACATCCGCCAATAATTGGTGACGAAGATGCCTAACCTGCATTGCATCGGATGGTGGCCCCTCCCACCGCATTCGCAGGGCCGGATATTAACGCGAAGTGCGTGTGATAGAGGGCCGCTCCCACCGCTACTCTGGGTCCCCGTGGCTTCTCAGTGGTCTGACTAGCCGCGATTTTGGAACAAAGCCGTAGACCGACAGCAACCAACACGAAAAAAAGGTGCAACGGTGTAAGACAACCAAACGCAACTCAGGTTCATCACATGGCACCCGCAGTACGGTGCTGCATTTGCCTGCGTCCCGTTCCGGAGGTGCGCATAGGTCCAGACAGGCACCCACACCAAGACTGACCTGGGTCCTAGACACCCACGGCGACGGCTTGCATAGGAAGCAGACCGAGGTGGGTGGCATTCCTGGGAATGTTCGCTAGAGAAATAGAGCCACAACCGATCGACCTAGGAATGGCAAACCCAGCGCAAATCCCGAGTGGCACCTGACATGCAATCGATTCTTCTATGCGACAACACAACCGTTCATGCGCGAGTTACACAGCAGGGGAGACGGGAAAAGCAAAGAATCTGACTCTGTCCCGAAAGGGTTTTGTCCGGCGGACCTCTAGTGACCGAGGTGCGCCTCGCCATAGGTAGTTGGCGGTCGCGCCCAGAAGGCTCGCGACCAACAAAGGTCTGACAGCCACCGCCCACCGAGCTACCCACCCTCATCCGTCTTGTTCGACATTTGCATATAGCTGTGGGTGTGGCTGCCTGACCTCGGTCTGGTACAAGTCTAAGCTATATGAAGCGGTTGTTCCTTGTCTCCGAAATGCGCTGTCATGTTCCTCTCTCTCCTTCTTGTTTTTGTTTTCTCGTGGTTCTTCGACTCGACTTGTTCATTTTCTCTTCTGGTCACCTGTTACAGCTCATCAGAAAACAAGATCGTGAGGTCCGGCCTCGCAACAGTTCCTACAGAGTCGAACTGATTCAACCTCGTACACTGACTGCATTGCGAAATGTCCACTCAGAGCCATGCCCATAGTGCTGGCGGGAGCAGTGCTGATGCAGATGATGCCGTTCGAACGCTGGGCGATGTTATGAGAGCACGACCGACCGGGTTCCCGGACGTCGTTGTCATCGATCAGACACATGAAGAGAACGAACGGAAAGATGATCCTAGCCCTAGCGAAGATTTGTGGCTCAGTTCAGCAGACGGTCGATACAGTTCGACCATCGTCCCCTTGCGAGTTGGACGAGCGCCGAATCAAGAGATTTTCCATGTACACAGAAATATCTTGCTAGCGACGGAATATTTCCGAAAAGCCCTTTGCGGAGATTTCAGAGAAGCTGAGGCCCAATCCATGGACTTTCCAGAAGAGGATCCGGCCATTTTCCACTTTCTCGTCGCCTTCCTCTACCAAAGAAGCTTTATTCCTATCAAGCCAGCAGCGTCAGCACTGGCTGTCGAGGCATCAGAACGAGGGAAAGCACAAGACTCTGGCTACCGAAGCGAATCGGAGTCGGAGGTGTCATCGTCGGAGGCCAGTGAGGCCAGTGCCAGAAGTCGAATCCGGGCGCAGAGGCGGCAACGGCGGCGGGAGCGGCAATGGGACCGCATGAACCGGAAACAGCCAGGTACACACCGCCCAGATTGCAGATGTCCGCGCTGCACCACAACCATCGGCCCGCCATGCTGGAACTGTGGCGTTGGTCGCGCAAGGCCGATTCCGGGCCACCTTCCGCCGCACATCATCAACCCTATGCCACCAGTGCGGCCCCTAGGTTTACAGCCACACAGCCGACGCCGTAGCCGACAGCAAGTCATCACACCGCCAGAGTCAACGCCCTCGGTCGGTTTGCCAGTCTCTACCAACGACGAGTATGCGGATGGCGACCGTATACGAGGCCAAGACATGCGGACTTTTCTGCTCACATACGAGCTAAGTCTAGAGGTATACATTGTTGCCAATAAATTCCTCATGGATGACTTCAAAACTGCGATCCAGCGTCACTGCATCGACATGCTCGAATCCGCCGGACCTGATGCAGCGCAGTCGATTGTGTTGCAACTTTGTTCGAAGCTCTACGCCGGCGTCCCTGAATCTGACCCATTATTGAGGATGATCTTTGCGCGCGTTGGCTTCTTACAGCCTCTGCTCTGGCAACGAGCGCCGCAGTTCACGTCGGAATTTCTGATTGGGCATCCAGAAGTTGCGGCTCTTATGCTCCGAGAGACAGCCATTCGAAGAGAGGAGGATCTAGGCAGTAGGGCGCTACCGTCCATGGAACGGGCGACGCACCCTCACGTCATGCCTATGTGGCCGGTTGCGCCGCCTATGCATCCTCATATGCGGCCTCCGCCGCCTCCGCCGCCGCATCATTGGCATCCAGGACCGTTTGGTGTTTAAGTGGTTAGGAAAAGGCACGGCTTTCTCTCGATGGAGTCTGCCCTATAGGGATTGTCTGCCATGGTTGTCTTGTTCAACAAAGAGGAGAATATGGAGACGGCGGCACATGAAGGCAAGAAATCGTCGTCGACATGACTAGGTAGTAGGCGGTTGTATCTGTATGTTGTTGGGAAAAAGGAGGAAAGCGAAGACGTTGCTTGCTACATGGGTGGTCGAGTGGTCAAGGCGAAAGAAACTCTGTTCGATGGAGCCCCATGTTCGGGAGCCTTTGTCCCACGGCGACGGGTCCCTCATTGTGGAAAGAGATATTACCCCGTCATTTGCATGGAAAGCGAGGGAAGAAATTACTGAAATAAAACAAAGGCGCATCCCGTTTATCCGATCGAACCAAAATCCATGCAGGTCTTTGGCCCATGTGACCCTTTTTTTCTTGCCAGCAGCCCGGTTCGGCGCGCTGCGCTGCGTTGCGCCGGGGCCGTGGCGGCAGGGTAAAAGCGGTCGGTCAATTTTGGAATGAATAGGTAGTGGAAGGTTAGTAAGGTAGGGTTTGTTGCATCGCGATATTAGGACAGACTCTAGCCGTCGCATCCACGCGGGCCCGCGAGTGTCAAGCGAGTCGGCAGAAGCGAAGGGTAAGAGAGTCATTGATGCCATTTGATCCATCATAAGTAGAAAGAGAAAAAAGTAAATGGTTGCGGCGGAGAAATTGCATGGTCGAATCTGCCATCCATACGAATACTTTCGGGGCATGATTGAGCAGAAATACCGAGCGGCGCGAGCCCACCACCCCCGAACGAACCCCAACCCCCCGTCACCCCCAGCTTTGCTAATTCTGGGGGAGTCGGGGACACTGGTTCACAGGCTGTTCAGCGCTGCTCGAAGCTCCGCAGCTCCGGGGAAGCCAGTGAAAAACAGCTTCATCAAGAGGGGAAACCCTGTCCGCCCAAGATCCCCACCATCGGCGCTAGCTACCCCACACACGGAACCAGGCACAAGGAAAGCAACAATGACAGCTTCTACATTCTTCCTGCTTCTTGGGGGTTGTTCGCGATGCTTTCGTCCGGAACAGGCCCCGAATTGGTCCTCTGTTCCCGGACGGCGGATGTACTACGTATGGTGGAAATGCAAACTAGTGTAGATTGGGCAGACAGGCTTGGATTAGATTATTACCTACATCCATTGGTTGACCCCCTCCTCCTCCTCCTTAGGCTCCCCTGGGGGGCGGCCATCGGTTGCAACGGGGGGCGAACTGTCTCTACATGGGTATAATAATCGTCTTCCAGCCACCAGCGTCAGCTAAAGCCCATCCAGTTCGTTTCCGGCGTTCTTGCTGAAGCCTCGTGAGAGTCGAGTCGAGTCCGCCGCTGCTCATCGAAGTTACCCTCCTCCCTCTTTGAACACCGCCACCCCACGCCGAAAGGAGGACCTTCCACCCTCCCCGACGATCGTGTACCGCAATGGCGCCCATCTCAGGAACCGTAGCGACGGTGATCACGGCGTTGACGGCGGCCTTTAGGACCTCCGGCCCCGCTCTGCAGGCGCAGGCGGAGCAGAATCACCTCCTGGCCGAGCTCGACTACGGCAACTTCCAGGGCGCCTACTCGGACCAGTATAACATCTCGTACTGGCAGAAGATTCCCTACGCGGCGCCTCCCGTGGGCGAGAACCGGTTCCGTGGGCCGCAGCCCCCCGCGGCGGTGGAGGGTGTCGTGTATGACTCTAGCCAGCCGTTTGATATGTGCCCTCAACGGACGGTATGTTCTCAATCTTGTGGTTTCGTGGCTGTTGAGTCATTGAAAGAAGAAGATGTTGTGCTGACTGGATCCTGGGCGCATTTGTAGGTCAACGGCTCCGAAGATTGTCTGTACCTCGGCCTCTACTCCCGCCCCTGGACGCAAGACCAACCCCTGAAGCCCGTCGTCGTCACCTTTTACGGCGGCGGCTTCATCCAGGGCTCGGCCTACTTCAGCATCCCGCCCTCGGCCTACCCGATCCTCAACGTCTCAAGCTCGTCCGACATGATGTTCATCTACCCAAACTACCGCACAAACGCCTTTGGCCTCCTCCCCGGGAAGCAGATCGCCGCGGACCCAAAGTCGGATCTGAACCCGGGCCTGCTGGACCAGGAGGCCGTACTCAAGTGGACGAAAAAGTACGTCAAGCAGTTCGGCGGTGACCCGAACGACGTGACCATCTGGGGCCAGTCTGCGGGCGGCGGCAGCGTGCTGGCGCAGGCCATCGGCCGCGGGGGGCAGCAGAAGCTCTTCCGCAAGGCCATGGCCAGCAGCCCGTTCTGGCCAAAGACGTACGCCTACGACAGCCCCGAGGCACAGGCTCTCTACGACGAGCTCGCCTCCCGTACGGGATGCGCCGGCGCCGAGGATAGCCTGGCCTGCCTGAAGAAGGCGGACGTGCAGACGATCCGAGACGCCAGCCTCGCCATCTCGAGCTCGCATGTCACGAACACGTCGTCCTTCACGTGGTCACCTGTCATTGACGGCGAGTTCCTCAGGGAGCCGCTCTCTGAGGCCGCCGCGGCGGGGCGGGTGAACATGGACCTGGCGTTCGCGATGCACAACACGCACGAGGGCGAGAATTTCCTGCCCGGCGGGCTCCAGAGCGCGACGGACGTCGGGTCTCCGCCGTTCAACTCGAGCGAGGCCTCGTTTGACAAGTGGCTGAGGGGCTTCCTCCCTGGCTTTGGCGACTGCGAGATTGAGGGCGTCAAGAGGCTGTATCCTGCGGCTGGCACGACGGAGACGATTTCGTATAACACGACGTATGTGCGGGCCGGACTCATTTACCGGGACGTCGTTCTGTCGTGTCCGGCGTTTTGGTTTTCGGGCGCAGCGCCGAAGGGGGGTTGGTTGGGCGAATACTCACTCAACCCGTCCAAACATGCTAGCGATACCGTCTGGGTGAGTTTGGGTGCCTCTTCAGGGAAGCATCTAGTCGGTGGGTTGCTAACAGATATGCAGTGGAATCAGGTCAATGCCGTGCAAAAGACGGACCCAGCACGCTACCAGGGCTATGCCGGTGAGTACACAAGATTGCATGTTGCCTACGGTAAAATACCATCACTAACACTTACTGTTGCAGGGGCGTTTGCGTCTTTCTTCCAAACGGGTGACCCGAATGCGCTCAAACTGTCGGCATCAACGGAAGCTGGTGTGCCGCCCCTCAAGGACAGCAAGGAATGGGTCGTCAACCCTGAGGGGTTCGCGACTACTGACCTGGGGCAACTAGAGAAGAGATGTGGATTCTGGAAAAGGACGGCTGCGAAGATACCCATTTGAGGCGATTCTAGATATGTACATGCGTGAAGTGATGAATAGAGGTACAAACTAGTCGATTGGGTTGTCACGAAGCTTGAAAAGCTCCCTCATCACCTCTTCCGTCTTGGCGCGCAGCGCGGAGTGATATAGCTGGTTCGTCTCGTACACCTTGGCCTTGACGAGCGCGGCCGTGTCCTTGGCGAACTCGTAGTCGACGTACATGTCGTCGATGTAGCCGGCGGCGTACACAGGCACCGTGTTCTCGCGCAGCTTCTCTTGGTCATACAACTCCGGCCACTGGTCAAATTTGGCTAGGATCTCGGCAGCTTCGCGCAGTTCAATCAGCTCCGGGTACGTCTCAAAGTGTAGGGGAAAGATCATCTCGCCCGAGAAGTAGAGAGGCGGGGCTGTGAACTCGGAGATAGCGGGTTCCTTCGCCAACCAGGAGAACTTCTCCAAGGACTTGCCGACTCTGTAGGCTGCCCAGTTGGAGACAGAACCCGGTCCATCAGTGTAGATGGCCTCGTGCAAAATAGCATAGATGATGTTGCTGTCAAAGGACGTTGCCGTCTCAACGTCCGTCAGGGACGCGCGCGTGAAGAAGCCGAACTGGTCCAAGTCCGTCTTCAGCTTGAGGATGGTCGAATGCACCGAGTCGAGTCCACCATGAGCACCAAAGGCAAGGCCAAGAGTGAGCAGTCTTGGAATGGTGAGGTATCCGCCGCCAGGGAGGTTGACCTGCTTCTTTTCCTGTATGAAACGAGCCACCTGATGGACGGCTTCGATGTCTTCGGGATACTTTTGGTAGTAGGCTTGGTTTCTCTCCTGGACTTTCTTGAAGGTTGCCTCGTACACCTGCTCGGGCGACTTGCCGACAGGTGCGAGACCGCCAGTGAGGAAGACTTCCCGAAGGCCTTGAGGGAACCTCGAAAGGTAGGTGAGAGACACAAAACCGCCAAACGATTGACCGAAGAGGGACCACTTTTTCTTTTCTTCCGGGAAGTCTTCAGTAAGATAGGCTCTAACGGCTTCGAGGTCATTGACGATGTTGTCTTGGCGAAGTAGTTTGAGATGATCGGCTTGCTTCTGAGCATTGCCCTCGAGGGCTAAGGTAGCAGCGGAGGCGGGAGAGCTAAGTCCAACTCCTCGATAGTCCAAGAACAGGACCTGGTATCCTCGATCCAAGGCAGTGCGAGTGATGGGACTGTCCTGAGGCTCTGGGTTACCAAACCCTGGCCCGCCTTGCAGAAACACCATCCATGGTTTCTGCTCTGCCTGCTTTTTCTCATTTTCTGTCGGAGGGACTATGGGCCTCTCGTGCTTAGTGACACTTCTGCCAAACAATTGAAGAACGCCCGAAGCTTGATTGCTGTAGTCCTTTGGAACCTCGAAGAAGAGTTCAGACACGAGGAATTGACCTGTCGTTTGATCAGTGCTGATCTTTAGACGATCCTACATGGAGAATTACCTGGGATGACATGCGACCTCTTGCTGAGAAGTTTCGCCGCACTAATTACTTTAGAAGCCATGTTGAGCCGGTGGTGGTAAAGTGAAGGCTTGGTGACAGCACAGGAAAGCGGGAAAGCCGCAGGGCAGACTGCTTAAACAAGAACACTAGACTTGATGCTGGCAACTACGCAAGCATGAGGACCATGAGAACCCCGCCTAGATGGCGGTGCAAGATAAAGTGCCGTGAGATGTCGCACCTTCTCAGTTGGGCAACCGGGTCAGTCACAGTGTGACACTGTGAACATCGCATTTCAGGAACAGCACCTTCAGGGAAAGGATTCGATCACTGAACTCCTCAGGTTTTCCACTTTCAAGAATTTGAATTCGCTCTCAATTTAGAAGAAATTATCTGCGAAGGTATATGTCGATAAGCATTTAATGACTTCTTACAGAAGTCACGGAAATATGCATATGCAATTGATTATATATTCTCGAAGTTGGCTAGAAAGAAGAGATGTTAACTGCTCAATAGAGCATAAGGTGCTGGCGTCCTGAACAATTTCGAGCATAGGGACCGACATGGACTGGTAATACATGAGGTTTGAGAGAGAGAGAGAGAGAGAGAGAGAGAGAGAGAACAGAAGACCTGTATATGATCGCACAATGCAATTACACAAAACTGGAATTACGATGAAATACGCGCGTAGAAAGAAGCAAGCATGCTGGCGATATTGCGGGCCATCCGTTGCTAGGCAGGAATTTCTTCCAAATCCCATTCCTTGCCTCACTTTCACTTTCTTAGAGGTAGCAATGTTCTAGATTCCTTACATAAGCTCAGCTCCGATTCCGGGTGACAATCCACCAATGACATCAACCCCCGCGTACGATCCGAAGGTGCTCGGCTCGGCAAAACCTGGGTCGGACTCCACGCGCGCCGTCTCTCTAGCGAACCTACCAAGTCCCAACTTGGGGAAGCGCCTGGTGCACGATGGGCTGCCAAAGGAAAGTCTCCCCATCCACCCAAACATCGAATACCTTCTCTTCCCGCCACTTCATGCCCCATTCCACATGTTCCGAGCGCGAAGCCACCAACAGTGGGATGAATTACATACATCTAACTACGACGCTTGTTGAATCCTTCAACGCTCTTGCCGATGAGGTCCAGATCCTGACCGACAGGAAGACGATCCTGGAGCACAAGCTCAGATTCGCCCACGAGCAGGTGAGTTGAAACGAAACGCGCAGGGGTTTGTCAGCAGAGCCACTGCTTTGCGACACTCTCCTCACCACCTCCAACATGATGAACAACCTTAGCTCTAGATCAAGAGCTCCTTACACAAGGGGCGAAGACTGATTCCTTTTACCATTTTCTGACTTGCAATTTTGCAACTCCCCCATCGCTTTCGCCTCCAGGCCAGCTTCGGTGGTAAACCTTGCTAATCGGCCGACCTTCGCAGTACCAGTATTTGGCCGACAAACATGCCCCTGCTGCCCCCGAAATCTCCGAAGTATTGGCAAAGTTACAGCTGCCGCCAGAACTCGCGAATCCATCGCTAGAAGACGCCAACCCCGTACCGCTACCGAAGCGCAACAAGCTGGATACCCGAAATCAGATTGCTCTCATCATCCGAGACGGCCGGCGCGTTGCTCAGCAGCTTACGTCAATCGGCGAAACGAGTAAGACGAGCGACTCTAGCAGAGAGACTTCTTCTCGTGAGGCACAGACCGGAACTTCGATGTCTACCGTCCTTGAGCAAGACTTTACGATCGAGGGGAAGAAGGGGCCTTTGGAATGTCCTTTCTCTTCTCAGAAGGCGGACAGCGCAGGCGAGGGCGATGGTGAAGCGCAAAGCGCTGAGAAGGGCTCCCAGGACCCTACTCCGCACCACTCTACGGACCCCATCTGTGCCGCCATGTTCGAGGAATCAACATCTCAACCGGCTCCCGGCGCTGCCGATTCCCCGGCCAAATGTCCCATTCGCTACCTAGACCAACACTCCCCGGAAGAGATTGCACACTACGTCGAGACACACAAACACGAGTTGCCTCGCAGTCACGAGGTCTGTGTGAGGAGATACCAAAAGAACGAAGTGCAAATCAAGAAGTTGGACGCAAAATATGGCAATCTGGTGAACATGATTCAGGGGCTTAGTGCGCTACATCAGCCAATGTTGCCAGAGTCACAGCAGGAGCAGGAAGAAATCGAACGGGCCTCGAATGAGAGGGTTCACAACTGGGCAAAGGCTGTCACAGACACGACGGTAGAAGATGCCGAGCAGTCTCAGCCGGAGCCCGAAGATGCAGATGAGGCCCGACAGAGCCACTTCGACCGAACGCTAAAAGAGGTTCGAGTAGGCGAGTCTCCTAGCCGTCCATGGGGTATTTCGGTCCCAATCTACGAGCCTCATGGTATGGGCGACGAAGAGCGTCCTCTTTCGCCTCCTCCAGCACCCGTCTTTATGCCATCTGGTTCTGAAGGCGAAGAAACACCAGCGCCAAAGACAAAGACTGGCAAATGCCCCTTCGATCATACGAAGATGGCAGCGATGGCAGCCGCTCGTGAAGAGGCCCAGCCTGTGTCTCCTACACCAGCTCCAAAGCTCATGTCAAACGAGATAGGCGAAGATGTATCGCCGCCAAAGCCTGCAGGAAAATGCCCTTTCGATCACGCTCAACTTGCTGCTATGGGCTTCGCGTCGCCTCCGCCAAATACTGGCGATCAAACCTTTGTCCACCCTGAACCGGATCCTCAACCTATCGAACTACCGTCGACGCCTGTGAAGCAGCAGCCGTCTTACAGCGCACCCCCTCAACAACCGACATTCATCAACCCATCTCTCGACGCGAACAAGCAGTACACGCCGAACGGCGTGCCACAGATGGTCTTCACGGGTCCAGTGTTCATCGGCTATCCCATTGAGCAGGCGATCCAATTTATGCAACGCTTCCAGGGGAGGCAATAGTGGTCTGAGCTCATGACACCTTCTAATCTTTGTTTCTCTCCATTTTCCGTTTTGCACATACGACTTTCTATTTTCGGGAAAGGGCGGCGTTTGTCTGTTTTAAGCGAAGGCGTTGGGATGTGACCTTTAATCCAGAGCTAGTTTTCCTCGTCCACCTTCGTGGATTTTCCTTATTCCAGCTACACCCCGCGGTGTACTGCACGAGCTTGATGTACAGATTGATGAGGCAGAAAGGGAGGGTATGGTATGAGTGGACGCAGGAGGAAAAGCAGACAGAACTCGTCCGTATGATACCACACAAGACCCGAAATGAGACATTGATATCACGAGAATACTCCGTACTATTGCTGCCCGAATTGTGATTCCCCGTACGCTGCCCTGAGCATCATTTGTCCTGGAACATTTCAGTCATGTTTGGTGTCTAGAAGCAGTGTCTAGTGCCACATCAGCTCTAAGTCTACAGTGCCGTTGCTGTCCGTTTAGAAACAAAAAAAACGCCTTAATCCGAATCCTTGAACCCGCCCCCCTTTCCGTTGTGCTCATCATCAAACGGATTCACGGGACCCTCGCGCCCGAGTTTCTGCCCGCCGCCTTCATTTCCATCGTCATCGTCATCATGATACCCGCCCTCCTCATCAGCCTCACGCGCCCACAGCGAAATATCGTCATCGTCCATGAGCGCCGCCACATCCTCTGGGTCCACGAGGCCGGCCTCAATATCCGAATAGTCGGGTGCGTCCTGGCCGGGCACCAGACCGCCCTCCGTCTCGGCCTGCTCCAGGGCCAGCTCAGCAGCGCGGGCCATGGTGCGTTGGTAAATGAGCCAGCCAACGACTAGGCCGACGAGGCCACCGAGGATCATGGAGATGTAGTTGATGGCTTTGCCGCCGGCCGTCATCTCGTCTCCCTTTTCGGCAATGAGGGCGAGGCGGCTGCCGATGAAGACGTGGACGAGAAGCTTTGGACTATTCGGGATCCTCTGTTAGTTGTGCTAGAACTTGGGGAAGTGAGGCGAGGACACAATTAGGTGTCCCTACCGTGCTCACCTGGCAAGGGCCGTTGAGACGGCGAACATCCAAGGCTTGATGGAAGGGATCGTGGACAGGAACCCGTTGGACAAGCTATACGGCAGCGGACAGAAGCGCACCGCCGTCAACATGCCGATCCCGTCCTTCCTCAGCACCTGGCCTAGCGCGATGAACCGGTGATCCTGCCCGACGAGCTTGTGCACGTAACCGCTGAAGATGCCCCTGCTCGTGTAGAAAGCCGTCAAGCTGCCCGCGACCGTGGCCGTCGCGACGATGGGGTACCCCAGTGGAAACCCGTAGACGAAGCCTGAGACCGAGATGGCGGTGCTGTAGCCAATCATGGGCGGGAAGGCCGTCATGAAGGTGAAGGCCCAAATGATGAGCCAGCCGAACGGCAGCGCGCGCCATTTCTGGGACACGGGCGCCAGCCACTTGAAGATTGCGTGCGAGTAGATGAGGAACAGAAGACCCAGGACGTTGACGACGAGGAGGAACGCGGCGACGGCCACGCGCTGGACGGGGCTGAGGCCGAGGTACATGCTCCAGAGGCGGTTGCCGGCCTTGACGGCGGAGCGCACCGCGCGGTTCACGCCCGAGAGCGCCGTGGTGCGCCTGGAGCCGGATTGGCCCCCGCGGCCGAAGCGTGCCGCGGACATGCGGCGGGTGGTTGTCGTTCTCGAGGAGGACGAGTTACCGCCGATGTTGCGGATCCATGGCGGGCGAACGTCGGCGTGGGCTTCGGAGGGAGAGGACGGGGGATTCGGCGAGAGGGAAAGCGCCCTCGCTGCTGATTCGTAGTCGGCCGGCATCGTGGGTAGTCGATCGGGGATCGGAGGAGGCAAAGACAACTGGAAGCGTGGTGGCTTTTTGGGGCCCGGAGGCTCCGGATACAGGAAGCTATTCGCGGGGCTTCGACCAGTGGATTGCACGCTCGTTTACCGTAATTTCGTCTCTTTCGCAGTTAGAATTATAACTGGTTCACTCAAAAGTTTCCGAGGCCATTTCGACAAAATGGGATAATCTTTGATGGAAGTACAAAAATGGAACACAGAGAATAGTGATGAGGGAGGAGAATGCGTCGCAATGTTGAAGGAGCTGACCTCACTCACCCACCGCGATGAGGTAAGCTGCCTAACCAGAGTGCCCCAAGCCACACCTAGAGACATGCGTTACGCAAGGTCCGCGGTTAACTTCCATGGATCGCCGGGCCCGTCAATGCGGGCGGGCTGCTACCTTGCCAAAAATAACCGGGGTTCTCCAGGGTCGTTGGAAATGCCCTAGTACGACGTACCTTATTTTAGTTGCCCCAGAATGTACGGTTACACGTATAGAAGGGCCGTGGTAGGAAACCAAAATACGTGAACTTGCGCAGAAAAGAAACTCAGAGTTGGAACACCAAGGCTTGCTACCGTTCCTGATGACGACGTTTACAGAGCATTACCTAAAGAGCCCGTTTCATGGGAAAACGCAATGAGAATGTCTCATGTTTCCTGCGGACGGTTTCAATTGCATGGCATACAGGGGGTTCGATGCATAAGGCACTCGCACGTCCCAAAATGGCAGCCGCTGTGCATCCCGTCCACGTCGGTCTGCCTGCCAACTGACCGGCCCAGTGTCCGGCGCTCTCCAACCTCGGTGGGGGCTCCACTCGAGCTGGAAAGCTCAAAGTGCTTCTTCCCTGCATGAACTCAACCTACCGTAAGGTACGGATACCCGCCCGATCTTACCTAGACGCGGCTCTACTTCCACCGTCGTCATCAGCAATAATGCATCACTTTACGCGCTAGGGCCTTGAGATAATTCTGATAGAGGAGTTCGCTTCCTGGAGCGTCTTGTTGACATTTTCTACTTGCGGTTCTTTCTACTTTATTGTCTTTTCATCACTTCTAGGTAGCCGGTTGTTATCGCCGTCCACTAGGCCCCTTCGGAGGATCCCTAACAAGCATCCTGACTTTGCCGTCCCCAATCTCCACACCCTGACTCAAGATATCAACTTCCTCTTTACTGTCGTCTGCACTCGACGTTCCTTCACGCGCCAACGACTTGTCGTAGCTTCGAGCATCAATGCCCAAGATGCCACCCATATTGTTGCGATCTCCAGGGACGGAGAATTCGCGGTAGGCGTACCTCCACTCGTTCAAGAAGTTACGAATCGCCTTGCCGACCTTGTCCTTGCCGTTCTTACTGTGATGACCAGTACCGGTAATGGCGTAAATCGGTCGAGTCTCCTTGCCGTTCTCCATTAGAACCCGCTCAAGGTATTCCACGGCTTCCTCAGGGTGAAGTCCATGCAGGTCTACATATATCTCGGAACTGTTCGCAATGCCTCTGTTGCGTTCCTCATAGAGCTCGCGCGCTGCTTCTCGATGTGCCTTCCGCATCAAGTCATTCTCGCTCTGGCCTCGCAGACTCAGAGCTTTGGCAGCCCTAGCATCGTTCCGGTTCCATGCTTGAGCAGCGCTAGTTTAGTGGTTAGTCTGGCGAAGTATCTTTCAGAAATTGCTGCTCTTACCTCTGGAGGAACTTATTCCTGAGACCGCCGTGCTTAATAGCTTCTTGTCGAGCTTTGAGGTAGGCCTTGTTGGCTCTTTCGCCAGTTTCTAACCACGGAATGTGTTTCGGATTCTGGATCGCCTGTGCTGCCGCGCTGTTTTCCCCGTTCCGGATATTGGTTGAGCTCCCATTTCGTCCAATCTTTTTGATATCTTGGCGGAGCAAAGCCGGCCCTGGAGACGGCGACATCTTGACGATTTCAGCAAGGGAGTTTGGTGCGTAATTTTCCTTATGATTGTGGCCGTGTCCACCCCTTTTCCCGTGGTGTTTCTTGCCTTGCTTCGCTGCAGCAGAGCCTAGAGTAGGGAATGCGTCTGCATCGTCCAGCGACGGAGCCACAAGTTCCCTCGCTTGCTGGTGTCGGCTTCCTGGGCGAGATCTAGACCGAGGGCTGTCGCTCGCGTAGAACGGCTTCAGGCCGGGTGGGGGCGTAAGCCCGATTGTAACACCTGGACTTCCGCTATAACTGCCAATGTGATCAGGCGTGCCGGGTGGAAGTGCTGGGAACAAGTTCAAATCGGACAAGTTGGCCTGCCTTGTTGGCGGAGTACTGGCCCCGTCCAGCGCCAGCTTGTTCATTAGATGTGCTGGGTCATGGGAGAATATGCAAGTTTCGCCAGCTAGACAATTGCCCATTACCCAGTATCTTGGTAGTCATGTTAGCTGGAGTTGTACTTAAAGCTGGAGTAGGATATACTTACTTGCACAAATGATTGCTCAAGTCATGACTGAATCTGCAATCTGCCCTTAAACATTGTCCCGTGGACATGTAGAATTTGCAGATAACGCCCGACCTTTGTCCAGCTGGGGTACTGGGCCGTCCTTCTGCAGCAAGCGCCTTTCCTATCAGAGACACCTTATTGTCGTCAGGCTGCGAGCTGCTATATCCGTTCTCTTGCGCCTGACTTTCCATGATTGATGCAATCGTTGCGCTTAGGTCGTAGCCATGGAGGGCAAGAGCTGCTTCAATCTCCTCATCAGTTCGCGTCCGGCCGAGAATTGAACGCAGCATGTCATATGGAGACATGTCAGCTTGCTGTGACGACATGGAGGAAAACTCGGGCGCAGCAGCATTCAGGCCACTTGAGGTTCCGACAGATGATGTAACGCTGATAGCATCATCGGCGACAAGCCACTCCACGTTTTCCGTCTGATAGTCGCCAAAAGTTTCATGAGAAGGTGATTTGTCGTTGGCGAACTCGTATGCGTTCAAGTTCGGGCTATTGGGTATGGCGGGTGTCGCAAATGCGAGTCTCGGAGAGGGCCTCGGAGAGGAGAAGGGAGAGGCCGCAGACGATTTCGTTCTTGTGAAAGATGGAGTAAAGGACGGAACAAAGCCTGGAGGGGCCAAAGGACTGACCCCAAGTCTGGGCGAGCCAGACAGAGGAGTGGCATTGCCGCGCCATGATGCAGGTGATGGTCGCCGCAAGATAGTCTGGCGGATAGGAGGAGGGGAGGCCGCCAGTCCACCTCCATCACGGTATCGCCATAGGACATCCAGGATCGCATTATCTAGAGAGGAGCCATTCAGAGTCGTCTGGTTTCGCAGGAGATCTTCTAGCTTGTCCGTCTTGTCTTCATCCTCGAGGGTGACATCCTGGAGAATCGGGAGGCAGATCTCGTAATGCTCGTCGGAAACCATGTTTGCGCGGTTGGAGGCCAAGACGCGGGCCTGGGTATAGCAGATAGAGGCAGCAAAGGTGCGTCAAAAGTAATGTATTGCGTGCGTATGTAACGGTTAGAGCCGAGACCGTAACGGCGCGTCTATAGATGGTATTCGGTCTTGGGTTGAAGCGGAGCAACTACTACGTAAGGCTGACGGCGGGAATGCAAAAGCAGCGGTTGTAGCGGCGTCAGGCAGGGTTTAGGTAGGAGTTGACGTCGGATGTCAGCCTTCGCGGATGGCCGTGGGGGGTTGTGTTTGAGGGTAGACGAGTTCTGTCCGCCAGCGCAAAGTCAGAACTACTAGAAGCAGGACGCGCTGAAGTCTCGTGTGTACTTGAAAGAGTAATCGAAGAAAAGCGAGCGAGTTGGCGATGGGAGCGAAGTTGGTGGGCGGGATTCGATGGTTCCGTCACATGGTTTCGGAGCCAGGGGCAGAGGGGGGATCGTCTCGAGCTTGCTGTTGAATGAAGCGGTCGGTATTACGGGCATAAAGTACGCGAAAGAAAAGAGGCTTCCCCTTTTAGGTGGGCTTGGGTTGCTCGCAAACTGAGCCTTTGTTGCCAGCCGTTGAAAGGCTAATGTAGAAGCGAGACACGACGGGAGGAAAATGGGAGATTTGGAGATGGTGGTTTGGATGGCGGAAATGCAGCCAGGTGCACGTCGTCGTTCCCCTTCAGCTGAGGACAGGGCCACTTGAGGGCGGCAGAGGTAAGGTGAGTTGCGGTCGGGTACTGGTGCGTGCGTGCTTCCTGCGCTGCTGCTGCACCGCTCCTGTGGATGCAAGGAAACAGGTTGAGGCAAGGTGAGAGAGAGTCTAGAAAGGTAGGTAGGAAGGGATGATGCACACCACCCACCAGCTGGCCAACAGCTCTTTGGGGGTCGGGGAACTGGGACCCGGTGTCAGTGGACTCACGCTTAGCGGGCACGTACCGGAAAGGAGCCAATCTCGAGGCACGCTAGGATAGGTAACCCGGACATACCCCCAAGAAGCACACCTCCCAATTGCCCACCCAGTGATCCACTGATGGGAGTCCTCAGGGACGACCACAACGGGGTGGGGAAAATGATGTACGTACCTTGCTTGGTACCTCGCCTTACCTCAAGTTCGGTAGACACCCTCCTATCCTGGGCAGTGACATTTTCATCTAAACTGTTCGAATTCAAGAATGCCCAGGGTTCTGACTTCAGCGACAGCTTGAAGCGGGTTATGGCGTGAGACCCGACATCTGAAGTATGAAGCTATCTATACCTGCACCCTGGAAGAAATCCAACATCTCGGTATGCTATATGTTGTGGGTTCTTCTTGCTTTTGAGGAATTACTCGAATACGTTTTAGACTGGAAAGGGAATATGGTAATGCTGTCTTTCCAATGTTAGATGCTAAGCGGCGAGGTACTCGGTAGCGGAACAAGATTGAAAGACAGATTCTCGTTTCTTCGGTGCTTTCATTGAAGCCGATCCTCTGTTCAGCTCTGCCCTTGCCGACCACAATACGCCCTTTGTACTATTCTGACTCAAGTCGCTCTGTCTTAGTGAGTGAGCTGACTTTGATGACACCCGAGCAAGGTTCAACCAAGGAGCCATTTTTGTACTCTGTTTCCAAATCCCATTCGGCTGAGGGCTACCTACGAGGTGTGTCGGACAAAGCTGCGGCCAGGAGATGGAGATACAAGGGTGGCTCTGCTTCGTCCACGATAAATCAGCCATGTCTTTGAAAACAATGAGTGATGTACTCGAAAGACAAACACGACGAAGGGTCTCTGCCTCCCAGTATCGGACAAATACTTGCTCTAGTACGCCGTATTGCCATATACAATAGGCAGCTTAAGGGATTTCTTCATCATCCAGGTCATCCCCGAATCCGAAGCTGAAGCCACCTCCGTTGGCCTCTGCCTGGCTTCCGCCTACTGCTTCCTCCCACTTCCTCTTTTTCTGGATGCTCTTCTTCTCCAGAATCCGAAGGGCCTGTTCTAATAAATCTGGCTGTTCCTGGCGGAGTCGCTCAATGAACAATACGTATGGATCAGCTACCTCTTGCTTGAAGCCAGAAACCTGGTCTGGCTTGTCCCTTAAGAATGATATGACTTCGGAGAGCTGGTTCTTCGGCACGAAGTTCTGGGTCAAGGCGATTCCGCTTTCCAAATTGACCACTAAATGCCACCATCCACTAGGCACGTGTAGGATTTCCCCCTCTTGGCAGATACCCTCGACGCAGTCCGGTGACCGACGTGCTTCAGCATGAAACTCGAGAAGCCATTCTGCGATGCTCAAGGGGCTGGTAACCTCGCTGCTGTCCTCCGAGACAATCACTCCGGGGACCATAGCCGCGGGTGGAAACATGATCCAATATTTCGCACCTTGGATCACCGCGTTCCATGCACTTGTCCCGTTGGGGTCCTTATGAAAAGTTGATCCGCTCCGTTCAGGCCCGATGATGAGCCAGCGATGGGCAGGCCGTTCCTTTCCCAGAAGCTCGAATAAATCCGGACCAAAGCACTCCGGCTTCCAATAAGCTGCCCCGTCCTCTTGGCCAATCGTAATCTTCATCTTTTCGGCAAATTTCTTGTCGAATAGATAAAGAGGGCTCTCGTCATCGTTGTTGTTCATGTACTCGTTATATGTCGAAAAGGGCCAGTCAACAGCCTCTGCGCGGAACTCTACATCGTGGTAGCGTTTCGATATGGTATCAATAGTCCATCCGTGGCAAACGGGCCACTTCTGGATGTAGTTGGTGAGAACGAAAGGGGTATCGGTCCAGTTTTCAGAAAACTCCTCATAGGTCAGGGTTTCCATGCGCTGAATCGTGTTGCGAGTTGGTATCCTTGAGGTGAACTGCTTCAAATCTACATGGCTGCAGACAAAGGGTCTGTGTAGAACGTCGGAGAAGACATCACTGCAATCAATGACTGCTTGTTGCTCAGACGAGAGTTTCAGCTGGGTAGCCCTCCAAGATCCTTGCCATTTGCCCTCAAATCTTCCTGAGCTGTGAGATCTAAGATTGCGTTAGTAAAGTCAGTGAATTACTAGTCAAGATACGTGATCACGGTAACGTTCTCTGATCCTTCTAGGATAAGAGTCACCAGGAATGCCCAGTCGAGTACAGCTCTTATTTTGATTGAGTAAAACCACCGGGGTGCGGATGACTCTGTAAGTCGCAGCGCTTGCCACTAGACACCAATAACACCCGATCTCATGATTTCCCTTTACTCAACAAAGTGGCCGACTTACTGAAGGAATAGCGTCTTCCACAAATCATCCGATCGGCAGAATGCGTAGAGGAACCTGGAAGTGTAGCCTAGCTTTCGAAGACGATCCTCATCGAGATACTCCAAAAGGAGCATAAGAGCCTCATCGGGCAAAATTTTCAGATATCCGATGTGTTTCCGAGCGTTCGGACGGTCCGAGAGATACTGGTTGCCCAGCGGTTTCACTCCCAAAGGATGAGTTGGAATTGACTCAGTCGACGTGACTGCATTTTCAAGGGCCTTTGAGTCATAGTCGTCGAGGCTGGTGTTGTCAGCATGGCTGTTGGTCCGGCCATTGGATACAGTGCCATGGTGTGGCACAGATGAGGTATCGTTCGCCATGTAAGGTGGTAGGTAGGCGAGTGACTAGGATCCTTGGGTCATTGGAAGGACATTGACATGCGTATGTGCTGCTTTTGGCTAAAGGGAGGAAAAAAAATCGTGGCGGGGATGACGTTGGAGAAACCAGACATGCAAAAAGGTTGAAGAATCTACCTGACAGTCTAAAGTCAAAGAAGAAGGGTGTGAAAATGAGACGAGAAAATAGCTGTACAAGGAATCATGTCACTGGGCGTAGCGGCATCGCAGGTGCAGGTGGTACGAGCCGGGTGTGGGTGGCAGCAGTGCGTGGCGGACACATGCTTCGATAAACATGTTCTGTGACTCAATTAATGCATGAAGATTGTCTAGAAGAAAATCTGGTAGGCATTCCGCCACGATGCACCCTCGAGGGGGACGGGATGGGCGACAGAGCAAAGAAAACCTAGCAGGCAAGTGCGGCTGCTGTGCCTTGTATCGTTCCTGCTATCTCCGGCCTTGCCAGCGCTGTGTCCCGCTGTCAGCAGTCTCTCATAGCTGCACTGCTAGTGGTCCCTCATTCACTAAGGAAGGCACGGCGGGTGTGCCCTAATCACCCATCCTGCCTGTTCCGTTTAGCGCCACCTCGCTTACCGCATAAATCGAGGGGCCGCCCGCCGCCAGGAAATTTTTTACGTGGTCAAGAATTCCTGCAGCTGCTGATAAAAACTTCGTCTCCCACCCCGAACAATCAACGTGCACCATCACCCCACGAACAACCAAACCAAACGCACCCTTTTTTCCTAGATTCAGTTCTACTCTTGCGTTTCGCCAAGAGTATCGGATCTAGTTGAGACTTTAATTCTTAGACTTCGATTCGTCGACACATTTCGCAAAACTCTCCAACGAGACGTTTGCGATTTTCCAACCCCTCGCCAAACCCCACCTTCACGACGATATTTCTAGATCCCAAGCTGTGCTTGTGATCTAGATTTTTTCCACAACACAACCGCAATCATGGCTGACAAGGGTCTTGAGGATGTGCCTGAGGGTAAGTCTTGCGACAGCATATGAGAGAAGAGAACATGGGCGCGGCTGTGGAAGGCTTCGTATTTCGATACTGAGGACGTCTACGAGTCGCCGACCGACCGCCTCCCCCTCCCTCTACCCAGCGCCTAGCGCATTATTTTTTCAAGACGACAAGTCGCTAACAAATATCTCCTGTCAGGCCAGATCGAGTCGAACTACGATGAGACCGTCGACTCCTTCGATGACATGAACCTGAAGTCGGAGCTCCTTCGTGGTATGTCTTCCCGCGCTCAAAATTTTCGGGCGGAAATGCCCTCACTGTGGACTATGTTGCTGACTTTGCCTCACCAGGTGTCTACGCCTACGGTTTCGAGCGTCCCTCCGCCATCCAGCAGCGTGCCATCATGCCCGTCATCAAGGGTATGTTGAATACCTAATTTGTTTTGCGAACTCTATTGCTCACGCTTTGCCCAGGCCACGATGTCATTGCTCAGGCTCAGTCCGGTACTGGCAAGACCGCCACCTTCTCCATCTCTGTCCTCCAGAAGATCGACACCAACGTCAAGGCTTGCCAGGCCCTCATCCTTGCTCCCACCCGTGAGCTTGCCCAGCAGATCCAGAAGGTCGTTGTCGCCATCGGCGACTTCATGAACATTGAGTGCCACGCCTGCATCGGTGGTACCAGCGTCCGTGACGACATGAAGGCTCTCCAGGACGGCCCCCAGGTCGTTGTCGGTACCCCTGGCCGCGTCCACGACATGATCCAGCGCCGCTTCCTCAAGACCGACTCCATGAAGATGTTCGTTCTTGACGAGGCCGACGAGATGCTTTCTGTAAGCTATAAAAAAGACTGCAATTTTTCTTGATTACGTACTAATGTAATCTCTCAGCGCGGTTTCACCGAGCAGATCTACGACATCTTCCAGCTTCTTCCCCAGAGCACCCAGGTCGTCCTTCTGTCCGCCACCATGCCCCAGGACGTCCTTGAGGTCACCACCAAGTTCATGCGCGACCCCGTCCGCATTCTCGTCAAGAAGGACGAGCTTACCCTTGAGGGTATCAAGCAGTTCTACATTGCTGTTGAGAAGGAGGAGTGGAAGCTCGACACCCTCTCCGACTTGTACGAGACCGTCACCATCACCCAGGCCGTCATCTTCTGCAACACCCGCAGAAAGGTCGACTGGCTCACCGACAAGCTCACTGCCCGTGACTTCACTGTCTCCGCCATGCACGGTGACATGGACCAGGCTCAGCGTGACCTGATTATGAAGGAGTTCCGTTCCGGATCTTCCCGTGTCCTGATCGCCACTGACCTTCTGGCCCGTGGTATCGATGTCCAGCAGGTTTCCCTGGTCATCAACTACGACCTTCCCGCCAACCGCGAGAACTACATCCACCGCATTGGTCGTGGTGGTCGTTTCGGACGTAAGGGTGTTGCCATCAACTTCGTTACCGCCGAGGACGTCCGCATGATGAGAGAGATTGAGCAGTTCTACAGCACCCAGATTGAGGAGATGCCCATGAACGTTGCCGACCTCATCTAAGTAACGAATTCACGGATACACGCATACTTTCTCTTTGGAACGGAACAGGCCCTGTTGTCTGCCGAGATCGATCACGCACCGGATCTGGCACTGACGCTTGAGGGTGGATTTTACTCGAGATTCATCAGGACTTGTTTGTTGATAGATCGCGGAAGGCTACCTGGCGAGTCACAGGGCGTGGCCAGCTGACCATCTTCTTGGTTGACTGCTGGACGCGCCCCGACTCATGGGTGGAATTGAAAACTGGCTTGCATGCGGAACGGCTTACGAGTCTTTTGGCACCTTAATACCACGAAGGTGCGGCGGACTGGTACCTAAAAGAATCATTGGCAAGGGTTCTAGTTTTTGATTTTCGGTTTCCTAGTCTCTCTGTACGTAGGGGCCACGTCACGATGAATCTTCTCTTAAAAATACTCTCTGTGTCTCTCTTGTTCAAAGTGATTGTGTCTGAGCATACGTCGTAGCAGAACGTTACGGCGAAATGCCCCAAACTCCCCTCTTGACACTCTGATCGCAAGGCAGTATACCACCAGGGTTCCAACGAAGGAAGCGGGGGCGAGTATGCACGAGGCTGGATACTTGGGAATGGCAGGGCGACTTGCTGCCACGACATGGAGCATCGCCCTCGGATGTTCCACCATACAGGCTTGCCAGTGGCTGGAGTCCATTCAGACACTAACTAACACGCAGTGCGTTCAGTGAATGTGGCCGTTGAGCAAGGCCTAGCTGGGTCCTGTTGTCAAGGCACTGAGAAGAAGCCGCCGCCCATCAAACGAGGTTGGGCTGCGCCACGTGGGCAGGCCGTAAATTCGATGTCTCTCTGGTCGCATCCCAGCTTGTGAAAAGGCTCTCAACGTTCGTGGCTCGACATAGCCCAGTCGGAGCCTGAGCGTGCAGTTGTGGGGCTCATGGACGATGCGACAACATTTTCTTCTTCAGGTTCCCTTAGACCGAATTTTGTGCTGCAGGAACACAGTTTGAAAATTATACCAAAAAAATCACGATCAATCGCCTCACGTTATATCGAACCAGTTAAGAAAAAAAGCTCAAAAAAAATTGGTAGCTTCTCTTTGATTGAGCGTGTCATCCTTAGTGCAGGGGCCATGCTACTGTGAGGGAGGTTAGTAACTGTTGCACGATTCGAACCCGGGGCTTTCAGAATAAACTTACATCTTCTCTGTATCGTTTCAAATTGACCAAATGCCCGAAGGCGAAAACTAGAGCAAATTTGGCCCCCTATAGAGGGCGTAAGTTTCGCACCAGTAGGCCCGTGCTCAGCGCCTGAGGCAGAGGCCATTCTTAGGCTTCATCCTCAGGCCAGAGCTCAACAACCCCTCCTCCCCCTTCACCTCAGCGAGAGAACCTGAATGTCAGTGCTGCCAAAATTTTGGTGGGGGATTTGCTGCGTTTGCGGGACATCGGTCTTTACCCCGCCAAACACACCAAGGCCCCGTCACCACCAAAGTCATTCTCGTCGAGACTCAGTGTCGCTTACCACAAACTAAGAAGATCAATATCTTTTCATATTACCCTTCAGACTTGGTGATACACTCGACATGGCGAACATGATATTTTTTTCGTTGAACAACCCGGAGACACCGGTGCAGTGCATCGGCGCGCAGACGACAATTTTTTGTGGCCCGGCCGATGAGGGTTTCGAGTTGTGTGCGGGATAGACCTTGGTTGAGGGGGAGAAAAGTTTCATGCCCGGGGGATATTTTTTTTTTCATCCGCCGCGGCTGACTTACAGCAGAATCTCCCTCCCCTCCCCTCCTTGCCCTGGCCCTTCCGGCCTTTCCCTTCCTCCCTTTCTCCTCCGTCCTGTCAAAGGACCGTCTGAGGTGTCGGGGAGGGGACCACCCCTGGGAACCACCCTCCCCTTTCTGTTTCGTTTCGTTTTGGGCAGTTCGTTAGGGTTGCAAGGAAGCGGGATTGAAACCTGCATTGAAACTATTGAGTGTATGCAACTAAACGAATGACCAGGCCCTTGCCAAGGGGGCGTGAGATGGGGAAACTGCCCCTGTCCACTTATACGGGGCTGCTTTGGCAGTACATCTCCGGGTTGTGCAATTGGCACCTTCAAATCAGCAATCATGTTTGGGCAAGTTCTGACGATGCTTTCTTTCGGCCTTGATTAAGATGTGCGTTGCTAGAAGCGCGATCTCCTCAAGTTGCATACCTGAGGAGTCTCATTGCGAAGGCGGTAAGAGTAGGCGCTGCCAACCACACGGCGGTAGATCATGTACAGAGCATAGTTTCTTTGAAGGTCTTGAAAGGTGATTCAAGCATCTCGCCTGTTGAAAGAAACAGACTCTTGTTGCCATACACTTGGCAGATACATGGCGATGGCTGCTATTTATCGGTGCCAAAAAGAAAGAAAAAGAGGTACTGTAAAATGAAAGTCTGTTCAAGGAGAGCACATCATCCACCGTAAACTGCTAGGTAGAGACGCTATTCATATCCGTGGGGTTCCAAAGTGGTGCAATGCCGGATCTGTTGACAGGACATGTCTGCTATGAATATTTGGGCCAGAGTGTTCGCAGTCATCGTTGGCTTGCACCCGTCGTAAAGTCTTGTTGAATCCGCAAGACGTCCGGACATTGCTTGATATTTGCTAGATGTTGCGCACTATGCAATGCACAATACCGCCGAACATTGGTCAACATGCAGTCAATGTCTTCAAATGATCAAATAGTAGGAGACCAAACTGACAGAAGAGGTTCCCACTCACGCCTGTGATACTCAAGGGGTATCCTGCCGGCTCCTCTCCTTATTCCGGATATCTAACCCCCAAGCTACTCGCTCGTGATGCCTGGCTCCCAGATACTCAACGGACGAGTCCATATAATAACTCGAGACACCAAGCACTTGGTAATGAGACCCATCTTTCAACACCCAAAAGCCAAGAACTAATTTCCTAGCGTGGGTTAGGCAAATCGTATTTCGGACTTTTGCTTGGGGGAATATGTGTCCTAAATTCACGACAAGCTATAGGCACATGTTGAGTGACATATCTGTTTGTAGATTGGATGACTGAAGACCGTAGCCATCGGTCCTAAACTATTGCAATATCCTACTCAAGACATGTATGGGTTCGAATTTCAATCGACTGCCCATCTGCATCAAGTCGATTGACTCGGGCAGCTCACTCCTCATCACCCCGGCCAAGCATGCTTTCCCTTTCCTTACCCAATCTCAACGCCAAATCACCCCATACCAGCTTGCGCCAATGATCTGATCCCCATCAGTACCACGAGGGGCCGTGTGGACGTTTCGTCCCTACAGCAAAAAGCTCTTTCCACACACTTATCGCTGATGAGCGCATGAGCTCGTAGGTTCTCACCTACTTGTATAGCACGACGACGGGCCGTTCAACGGCCTATTTTCCGCCGGCCCGGGCCCTCTCCAGAACGTCTGGTGGTGGGAGGTACTCAGGGCCAAACGACAGCGGGAGAAGCTATTCACGATGATCAGCCCAAGAGTTTGGCTCAATGACTTGGGTTTTGTGAACTTACGGCTTCCAGTCTCATGACTGCATACTTTCCGTCCTTGTTGAACATGAGGATGGGCGTTTCCAGGTCCACGAACTCACGGATGCTAACAAAAGAAATGTCAGTCAAGGGTCGCCTTGATGGTTCATGATATGTATCCGAAGGCTGCGGGACTAGGGTATCTTCAAGAGGTTGACCTACAACTGCCGGCACATGCCACACGGGCTACACGGCGCCTCAATATCGGTGGCTACGGCGACAGCTTTGAAACCCCGGATGCCCTCTGTGATGGCCTTGCCAAAGGCTACTCGTTCGGCACACGTGCCAACCGGATAAGAGGCATTCTCAACGTTTGCTCCAGATGTGTACTGTCCATCTTTAGACAATAGTGTGGCTCCTACGCGGAACTGACTGTAAGGGCAGTACGCCGTCGCCTTTGCTGCCGTTGCCTTTTGGTGAAGCTCAGTCACCTCGGCTGGAGTAAGTCCGTACTTTTTGGCTGTCTCGGCCGTCTGAGACTCATTGGCGATATCGAAAACCTCTGGTGTGAAGCCCATATTGATCTTAAGTGAGAGCAAAGATATGTGTGGGAAAGGGAGTGATATAATGAGGTTGAGAGATGAGGAAGCGGACGTGATGTATGAGACGAATCTATGATCCTATGTGTGTAGTTTGGATGATGGGTCCACGGGCTGCTGCTATTAGTTTGTTCTCGGCGGTCTCTACGGTGGGAACGCCCTCTGTGAGAGCTACTGGCATGCTCCATTTATGGGGGGTCCGGGTGCCAAAAGCGCCCCCCGGCCGTCTCCGAATTCCGTTTGCGTCTCCTCAAAGTAATCTTTTTGCTATCAGTTTTGGAACCGAAAACCCGCACTTGCCATGAACCCTCCCGTCCTCTCCCAACCGTCGCAGACGTCCGTTTCCGCCTCCAAACTTCCTGCCTAGTTGGGCTGCTTACACTCATGACATTAGACCCCCGGATTGGACGGACATCCCCCCCCCATATGACCATGGCTTAGCATGTACCTGCAACCACTGGACAACCCCGCAGTCTATCCTTAGCTGATTACCTACCTTCAACGCCAACTTACGCCTTGCCGAGGGGTATCGTAAGCGGGTTCATGGCACTAGGTAATCGATATCCGTGAGCTAATACCTTGGTTATGGGGTCACGAGATATGCCTTGACGGGATACACTTACGAAGAGCCGCCGTCGACCACCAGGTTTGCTCCCGTGATATAGGAGCTGAAGCCCGAAGCTAGGAATCCGGCTACTCGAGCTACTTCTTGAGGGCTACCTGGTCGCTCGAGGCCCACGCTTGCTTCCGATGCCTTTGGATGAGGAGTGTCAGTTTATAGATCCATCGGGCCTAACCTTCCCTTCTTCGCCCTTGTTTTTATGGGGGTTTCGACTTACTTCCTTTCCTTGCAAGACCGCAGGCGGGAACTGGGAGTTCATTCCCTTCATATCGACCTGTATGGCAACACTGATCAGTACCGTTCTGCTCAGCTTGGGGAAGCAGAGCACTCTCACCCCGTTCAAATCTAGGCCAACGTCGATCTGGCCCGGAGAAATGCAGTTGATCCTCACCCCCGAACCTTTGAGCACAGCAACGCCGGCTTTCACGACACCAAGCGCGGCGTGGGCCGCCATCGTGTAGCACGGCCCCCAGCACCCGCCATACGTCGATGCCACGCTGCTGATGACGATGATGCTGCCGTACTTTTGGCTCTTTGGCGCCGCGTTCGGGTACGATTGCTTCTCCGTCAGTTTGGCCATGGCGGGAGGCGCATACTTGAGCGCGAAGAAGGGCGCCATGGAATGTGCCTCGAAACACCGCTGGAGGTCGGCTGGTGTCGTTTCGTTGATGGATGGGGGCCCGAGCAGGCCTGCGGATGACACCCAAATGTCGAGGCGCCCAAAGGCATTGAGAAGCTCGTCAATGAGAACCAGAGTCTCTTCTTCTTTGGCAACGTTGAATGGATAGGGAATAATCTTGGTGTTGGGGTGCTCTTGGTGCACCTTGGTGACGAGAGGCTTGAACGTCTCATCACTGGCCGTCTTGTCGCATGCTGGACCGTGTCATTCATTTTCTGTCCTCGGTTTCGTTCAAGATTTTGGTTGTCATCTTACCATATATAGAAGCGGCCCCATGAGCTGTCTATGTATTAGTGACGCCTTTTCGAGGTAGCGAACAAACTCCTACCTGCCAGCTCCTCGATGATAGCCCGTCCAACAGGCTGAGCGGCTCCTGTGACAACGCAGACAAAGCCATACTGGCCACGATACTTAGTACACCATGCATGAACTCCTAATGGTAGCAATGACGTACAAGCTTGCCATCGGCGCGGTAGGGACTGAAGTCAACAGTCGTATCCATCTTCGCAATTTATGAGATGATGTGCTAACTAAAGTGAACCGTAATTACATATACGTGAGAAGAACAGAACCTAACAGAGTCTCCTCTCAGATAAAACAAGGGAGGCCGAGCTGAAATATTCAGATTCGATACAAAAAGTCAGGAGCAGAAGAAGTAACCTCAAGTTGTGCCACACTCGAGGCTAGACTCTGAGCGGCTCAACCTTGCATGCCCAAACGGGCCAATGCCGTCACCAACACGCGAACTGAGATGATGCTTCTCCGAGGGGATTGGCAGCCTTTGCAGCTACCAGACTGTGGAGGCGAAACTTCCTCCAACCAGTGCAAGATTTAAGCTGTTTTTTGGTCAGAGATAAGGTATTGCAGAATCAATCTAAATACCATCGACTCAGGTGTTGTTCCACTCGCTGACTTGAGAAGTCAGTCTTTGTACATGCCGTAAGAACATGGCTCAACTCAGTCTGCGAAACCAGTTAACGGTGGGTTTCGTTGCTTTGGGGCCGGGATTGGCTCTAGCTTTCAGCCCGCGCGGGGTGTCCATTGAGATCCGCGCCTACTACCGATATCAGTGACATTCAAATCATTTTTGTCTGATTGGAGGATTCTGGTCGTAGGCCCGGACGACGGAGATGCTCATATCTCCCCCACCAGCTTCTAGTAATAATTTGATCGCATACCTACCTTACAGATCGGCCTATCATATGCATTCTGACGGTTGCTGGTTATTGTATGAGCTGATCATCATAACGTCCTGCAGTGCTGTTGACCCTCATGCAATTGTTGATCATACTTTGGCAGCCTTTGAAGCCTAGAGTAGTCAAGCATTTAGAAGGTGAACAATACGTCGAGGAATCGCGCGAACTTTCTTTCATTCAATGTGGCCCACTGCAGGGGAAGTAAGCCGGTGTAACTCTTGAAATTGGGTTGCCCTGTTGGCAGCGACGGTTCTGGAATACCTTGGCCAAGTATCGAAACCCGTGAGGCTAAGACGCCAGCTTCTGCTGGTGTCTATGCCAGCTGATTTCCATCGATGAGAAGTGGAGGAAGTTATACTGTGGTAAGAGAACCGAGTATCGGTATGCCCAAGAGTGCTGGTTATCTTTCTTAGAGATACTGAGCTTATTCAGGGCCGAGTTTCAAAGGAGCAAGAAGTGTACCGTTCCTAGGACGACACTGTCCGAGCACGACCAGAGGTGCATTGGGTACCAAAGGTCCGAAATCACGGACATCTGCAGGATGAGGAGGATGACCTGAACACACCCGCAACCGGGTCAACGTTCTGGAAGGCCGGGAACCTCAACAAATATTTTACGGCCCATATGAGACGATGCGACACAATAGAGTGCGACTACGCATGACTTAAAGATGAGCGTAGTCTGATGCCATCGGCCGAAGTCGTGGGGGTTTTTTGCCAGTATTAGGTATGAGGTTTACAGTTAATATTGTGTTGCCACACGTTCAACGAACTGTTGAAACATGAATACTTACAACCAGGCATATTTGTTTGATGAGCAATTAGTAGGGTGAGTGCCGGCCTCGGAACGCCGATGTGACAGTACGACAAGGAGGTTGTCTCGCACTCAGCTAGAGACTGGTGTAAGCGAGCATGTCTGTTTGCTGGAGGCTGAGCTATCCACCGAGCAGGCAGTCGCCCACGGTGACTGATACTCCTATGGAGACTGGTCCGCCGTTCCTGCGCAGTGCAGAATGACGATGACGGATGAGAAATCCACCTCTACCTTTTGCCCCGCTTAGCTAAGATTCCCGTCGGGTGGTGGGGACCAGATTGTCGGAAATTGTTAACGGGCTACTTCTGCGATACGTCGGATGCGTGGGATAAGAATAGGCTTCGAGGCTGGTTGGGGAAAGGAAATCAGGCTGAGAGACGGCGCAGATTGTTATCAGAGACCCCTGGAAGGCGGACAAAGAGTTATTTCTGGGGCGATCAGGGTCCGTCCTGCTGGTCCTCCAGGTAGGAGTCGAAGGACCGTCAAAGACCCCTCGGACCAGGTACCTATGGATGGAGAGGACGGAGAGGCTGCAGGTATTGCATCATCAGCACCGCCACAGTGGCTGGAAAGAATTCCATGTTCTTCCATCGATTTCAATTTGGGGCCATTTGGGCGCGGGACATGCGCAAGGCGACCCGCCTTTGTAGCCTGCTTCTCCCTTTATTGTGAAAAATCCAGTGTCCCAGTGTCCCGTCACTAGCGCACTTCGGTCCATTCAGCCAAGGTACATTTCCACCGTACTCCTCCCCGCCAGGAACCTCACCCATCAATAACTTCCTCGCCAGCCCGGCTACAGATCTCCTCTCAATTTTTTCCTACTTCCCCCCGCAACTATCTCCCTCTTTCTAGTTTTACATCAGATACCCAGTTGCGCAATCGCCATTCTCGGCTTCTTTCAGAAAGTGAGTACCTCTCGGTGTTTCCTGCAGCGCAAAGCGAATCGGAGTTATGTTTTTACCCGCCAAACTAAATCCGCTTTACCTCTTTCTCCTGCTGAGACGGCTCTACCCCGAAGCCGCCAAAAAACGATGGTTTTCTCTGCTTCGACCCTGTCTTGTTCGCATCACAAAAGCGGGAATGCGCAAGACGACACTGCAAACCTGGCGAACCATTTTCGATTCATTCAGCTGACTTTTGGTCACCTAGGCCCCTCCATAGATTCCTATTCAGAACTCCGGTTATCGTCAAGCCTTAGATAAGGATTACTGTACCAACCAGCACGATGGTCAAAGAAACGAAGCTCTACGAAACCCTCGGCGTACGTTGAACACGGAAGTGCCTCCAAAGAGCTGGGATAGATCATTAACATTGAAACAGGTTGCGCCGACGGCGACCGAACAGGAGCTGAAGAAGGCGTACAAGACAAATGCCCTGAAGTACCACCCTGGTAAGCACCAATAAACCCGCCGCATCCTCACGGGCCGGCTGACAAGACCTCCACAGACAAGAACGCCCACAACCCCGATGCTGAGGAGAAGTTCAAGGAGATTTCCCACGCCTACGAAATTCTTTCCGATTCCCAGAAGCGTACTGTCTACGACCAATATGGCGAGGCTGGTCTCGAAGGCGGTGCCGGCGGTGGTGGCGGCATGGCTGCTGAGGATCTGTTTGCTCAGTTCTTCGGTTCCGGTGGCGGCTTCGGCGGCGGCCTTGGAGGCATGTTCGGTGGCGGCGGCATGCCTAACCGCGGACCCCCCAAGGCTCGCACGATTCACCACACTCACAAGGTCTCCCTTGAGGATGTCTACCGCGGAAAGATCTCCAAGCTGGCTCTCCAGCGGTCCGTCATCTGCTCCAAGTGCGAGGGCCGTGGCGGCAAGGAGGGTGCTGTCAAGCGCTGCGCTGGCTGTGATGGTCACGGCATGAAGACCATGATGAGACAAATGGGTCCTATGATCCAGCGTTTCCAGACCGTCTGCCCTGACTGTAACGGAGAGGGCGAGACGATCAAGGACAAGGATCGCTGCAAGCAGTGCAACGGAAAGAAGACCATTGTCGATCGCAAGGTTCTCCACGTCCACGTCGACCGTGGTGTCAGGAGCGGCACCAAGGTTGAGTTCCGCGGTGAGGGTGACCAGGCCCCTGGCATCCAGGCTGGTGACGTTGTTTTCGAGATCGAGCAGAAGCCCCACAACCGCTTCACTCGCAAGGAGGACGACCTTCTGTACCAGTGTGAGATTGAGCTGGTGACTGCGCTGGCCGGTGGAACTATCTACATTGAGCACCTCGACGACAGGTGGCTCAGCATCGAGATCCTTCCCGGTGAAGCCATTGCACCTGGTATGTCAAATTCCGTGCTGCCTTTCATGTTCGTAGTCACTAACACGTCACAGACGCTGTCAAGATGGTTCGCGGCCAGGGTATGCCTTCTCCTAGACACCACGACTTCGGCAACCTTTACATCCAGTTCAACGTCAAGTTTCCTGAGAAGGGCTGGACAGAGGACCCCGCGGCCTTCGAGGCTCTCCAGAAGTTGCTCCCCGCCCCTTCGCTGCAAACCGTTCCTCCCCCTGAGGCTATGACCGAGCCCGCCGACCTCGAGGATCTCGACAACTCTTCCCAGGCTAGAGTCTTCGGAGGTGCTGGCGGTATGGACGAGGACGACGAGGACGGCCACCCCGGTGCCGAGCGCGTGCAGTGCGCTTCTCAGTAAATGACGTCATGTTCCCATGGTATTGGTATTACGAGCATCTCTGGCGTGGTGGGGGGAAGAGGGCGTGGGCGAGATTTCTTTTCACAAACCCGTTCGACAGAACGAAATTGCATATTTTCTCCAGTCACGAATGAACGGACACGGTTGCATGAAAACGGTGAAGGGGCTCGCCGTTGGGAGACCGTTCTCAGATGGTGGAAATCAACCAGTCACGACGTCTCGCCTAGACGCCCGTGTCGGGTTCGTCGAGAATGGAGGCTGGATTCAAGTGGACCAGCACACATTAACAGGGAAATCTGGTCCAGCGCGTGCTTATTCTCAAAACATCACTTGGCTTCTTTTGCTCGACGGACATTCGAGACTTGGTAGGAAGGCGTTCACGGTCATAGAGAGGATAATTCGCTGAATCGAATTGATGATAAACGTGCCTGATTTGCTTTTGCCCGCCTGATGTATGCAGCCCCCGCAACGTAAATTTTGACGCAAGTTCTTCCCATGTCTATTCTTTTGACACAGGCTCGCCTTCAGCCTGCGCTTGTTCCTCGCCTTCTCCCTCCTCGCCATGCTCATCATCGCCTCGCTTGCGCAAGTCCTCGGTATTGTAAAGCAATTTCCTCACCTGCTCGTGAGACATATCGAACTCAGCCTCACTCACGCTAGCGTCCTGGATTCCAAGATCCTGGGACGAGAAGGCGGCGCCGGTCCATCTAAAAGAGACGATACCGTTGGGTGCGGCGTCGTTCTCTGACGGGTTAATGGTCACCAATATGCTCGTCATTGAGTTCTCGGTAGCAATAGGTGCTACGTGAAGCGGGTTTCCAGGGAGCGAGATGGTCTGTACGTGTGAAAGGGTGTTGTCTTCCGCCAAACGAAGGACGAGGATGGCTGATACGCTGATTATCGACTTAGCTATCATGGATTTGGTGTTAGAGATAAGAGTGACGAACCTTTCGCATACTACCAGGACGACAGGCACCTGTAAGCCATTCTCCGTGACATTGGCCGAAAGCAGCTGGGCGACAGCGACCTTTGTAGTCTCCTTGTCGATTTGCTGAACTTGCCCCAGGATATCGAATTTGGAAAGGACCTTGCCGTTCTCCCAGTCCCAGGCGAACAGCTCGCTGTCTCCGCCTCCCGAGACCAAGACATCCTGACTCGGCAGCGTAAGCGCACTGATGAAGTTGGCGTGACCGAGGCAGAAGCCCTCGATGACGTGGGCGTGCGGCATGAAGCGCGAGACACGGATGTGCTCGTCGCGGTCGGCCGTGATGATGTACCGGCGGGACCCCTTTGACGCAAGCGTCAGCGCAGTGAGCATGGAGACGTGGCCGATCTGGAGCGTGTGCTCGAACGCCGGCTGTTCCTTTGTGACGTCGCGCTTCGACTTTTGCTGCTCGCGCAGCTGGCTCTGGAGAGCGCGGAGGTTGCTCTTGGAGTGCACTGTGAAGGAGTTGGCTTCCGGCGTGAATGGTTTGGCAACCGCGGGGGCCGTTTCGGAGGCAGCCTCGGGCTGAGCCGCGGCGTCGGAGGATTGCGATGCTTCCGAGGGGATTAGCGGCAGAGAGTAGACGTCTCCGAATTTGTCTGCGCTCAAGATGGTTTCGCTGTCTGGGCAGATGAGGACCGAACAGGGACGTTTAGGCATTTGTCTTTCGAGTTATGTGTTAAGGCTAATGTACATGACGGTGTAAGTCGGACAACGTACCTCTGGCTCAACTCCTTCAAGTTTCCCTTGCCGTCGTGCTCAAAGACCCAAAGAGACTTGTCATGACCCGAGATGGCCAATAGGTGACTTCCGTTGCTGGTGGTCGTCATGATAGTGATGACAGGGTAGTCCGGGACTCTCGCGAAAGCTGTGCCGCGGTTGTTTTGCTGGCCATCCCGGTTGTTGCGCCTCATGTTCTTGGTACCCTTTCTCCTATCTCTTTTCTGCTCTTCGGCCTTCTGAGGTTCGCTGTCGACAACCATGGCATCGGTATCCTTGACTTCTTCCTGGGCCTCTTCCGCCTTCCCCTCCTCGCCGCTATCGACTCTCTGACGTTTGGCGGGCGGTCCATCCTCCTCGTTGGCTGGGGTTGCAGGCGTGGGAACACCAGAGCTCACTTCAATCTCAACTTTCGCCGCAGCAGCTGACGCAGCAGCAGCAGCAGCCTTTTCGACGTCGGGATGCTTCCATGTTGAGATGTGAGCGCCGTCTTCCAGGCTGAAAGAGTGAACCTTTCCACCCCTGGCAGCAAAGATCACATTACCCGCAGGCTCGAGGCAGTTGTAGGGAACCTTCATGGTGAAAATGCGACTTATTCAAAGTTGTCCTCGCTCAATTGGCATGAGTTGAAGTTGCGCCTGCAAGGGACGTAGAACTTTCACTTCAGACTCATTGCATCTGAGCACATGCCCCACCACCAGATCTCTGTGAGGGAAAAGAGCGGTACAAGCTAACATGTATCTTTTTTCTCCAAAGCTTGGGCCATCAATCTGCCTGCAGGCTGCCCCGCGCTTGTCCTCCTTTGGGACTAGACCCACTCGGTTGCCCTGATGGGGGCAGCGGCGCCCAGCCGCAACACACACCGAAATTTCGTTTGGTGAAGCAAAAAGCGCAAATTCTGGGGACAGCCTTTTTTTTGCCTTTTACAACATCAACTTTTGATACCCAAATTCCCATCACTAACCAATACCCAAAATTTCTTTTGCCCTTAAACAACCTGCCTTCGTAAATAAGAAGATATGGGGGGCAAAACTGCGAACAAGGCCGGCTACTTCGACAAGCTCAAGGGCTTGCTCGAGGAGTACAAGTCCATCTTCATCGTCACCGTCGACAATGTCAGCTCTCAGCAGATGCACGAGATCAGACAGTCCCTCCGTGGTGAGGGTGTCGTCCTGATGGGAAAGAACACCATGGTACGTTTTTCGCGACGCGGAGCTCAATCGCGCATCGCCGACCTTGGAAGAACGCGTTTGCTAACCTAAGTTTGAAATCTAGGTTCGCCGTGCCCTCAAGACCTTCATCCCCGACTCCCCCGAGTATGAGCGTCTCCTTCCCTTCGTCAAGGGTAACGTTGGTTTCGTCTTCACCAACGGCGAGCTCAAGGACATCCGTGACAAGATTCTCGCCAACAAGGTCGCCGCCCCTGCCCGTGCCGGTGCTCTCGCTCCCGCCGATGTCTGGGTTCCCGCTGGCAACACCGGTATGGAGCCCGGTAAGACCTCTTTCTTCCAGGCTCTCGGTGTCCCCACCAAGATTGCCCGTGGTACCATTGAAATTGTGTCGGACCTGAAGCTCGTCGAGGCCAACACCAAGGTCGGCCCCTCCGAGGCCACCCTCCTCAACATGCTGAACATCTCCCCCTTCACCTACGGCATGGGTATCGCCCAGGTCTACGACCAGGGCAACTGCTTCCCCGCTGATGTCCTCGACATCTCCGAGGACCAGCTCCTCAAGACCTTCGCCGGCGCTGTCACTGCCATCGCCGCCGTCTCCCTGGCCATCAACTTCCCCACCCTTCCCTCCGTCATCCACTCTTTCTTCAACGGATACAAGAAGGTTCTCGCTGTCGCCATCGAGACCGACATCTCCTGGCCCGAGATCGAGGAGCTCAAGGACCGTATCGCCAACCCCGACGCCTACGCCGCTGCCGCTCCCGCTGCCGGTGCTGCTTCCGGCGGCGCTGCCGAGACCAAGGCCGAGGAGAAGGAGGAGGAGAAGGAGGAGGAGTCCGATGAGGATGGCGGCTTCGGCGGTCTCTTGTATGTTCACCCAACCCTTCTGCGCGTTTTGCCATTGCTAACATCCTTTCTAGCGACTAAATTTGACGGGAAATCGGTGATGTTACGGCTACTATCTGGGCTACGAATGGGTTTACGAAGATACGTGGATCTTGATCGCTGTATAGATGGGTTGCCGGTCAATCAAGCACATCGCATTTGACGGCAAAAACAATTCGCTCTTGACTCTTGGTGATGTGACTATGCTCGTAAGCATTCACTTCTCCGTCTCTCAAAGGTTAGTACTTGCTTATTTCTTCTTTCTATAACTTCCCCCTCGCTTCCTATGATTATTTAAATGTTCAAGAGCTTTTTAACCCTGATCTACTTGATGTCACACACAATTTCCGTATGAGAGAGCAACTTCAATCGTTATCTTTACTTTTCAGCCTCAGTTCCACGTGGGTATCATGGCTAACATACAAAAGTGTACAGGTTTTGATATCACACCGCCCTATCGTACAGTGAATTTTCCCCATGCCGCCAAACGTGATGACAACCATGCCTTACTTAGCCTAGGTTTTTTCAATACCAAGAACATTTTTCGCAATGCTTACAGCCGCTTCAGGCAGATTGGCCAATTTGGCAACCTTGAGTGCGTGACTCTGCCTGTTGATGCCCTTGACCAGCTTATGAATGTAGACGAACCCGCCGTCCTCATCCTCGTCCACATCTGTACAATACATCTCCACCCGTACCCGTTCACTCTCACCCTCACCCTCGCCACCGCCCAACCCATCCCTTACCGCCAAGTCAGCAACACGGTGGAAGTGCGTGGCGAACAGCGTCCGACACTGGTTGACGGTCACCAGATGATGCAGACAGGCGTACGCGACCGCTGTGCCGTCCTCGGGCGTCGTGCCGCGGCCAATTTCGTCCATGATGACAAAGGACCGCGGCGTCGCATTACGCAAAATGTGCGCCGTCTCCATCATCTCCACCATGAAGGTGCTCTGGTCCCGGTAGAGGTTGTCCGCGGACCCGACGCGGCTGAAGAGGGCGTCGACGACGCCTATCTCGGCGTAATCGGCCGGCACGTAGCAGCCCACCTGCGCGAGGATCGTGATGAGGGCGTTTTGGCGGAGAAAGGTGCTTTTGCCTGCCATGTTGGGCCCCGTGATGAGCCATAGCTTCGCCCCTTGGGAGCCGGAGCCGGAGCCGCCTCCTACTAGGCAATCGTTGCGGATAAAGGTCCGCCCTTGCTCGTGGAGTCCGCCCTCGACGGTGGGATGCCGACC